CCTAAACCCTAAACCCTATAGGCAATAGCTCACGTTAAGTGTCGGAGCCCGTGTGTTGACACAGCCGCGGCCGCCACAAGGATGCCACAGGCGATATCCTCATCCTTGTCGGCTAAATACCTGCAGCTTTTAAAGGGTTTAGGGATTTAGGCTAGGAGTCAGGTGTTTTTAAACGATGATGAGTCCACTGATTTTGTCGTTCCTGATCAGGACACAAACCTGGGGAGCCCCTTAGGGATACCTGGGGACTGTAAGAACATGATTGGGACCCAGAGACAACTTTGTAAGAAGCATTCAGAAAGTCTTATATCTTAAGCATAGGTTCGAGAGATGGCGACCCTGAACCCAAAATCTTATCCCCTGAACCCTAAAAGCTTAAACCCTAAACCTAAAACCCTACACCTTAAGCCCTAACCAAGAGCCATAGCTTGGGCCAGCCAGATGAAGAAAACGTCATGCTGGAGCGTTGGCGCTGTTTTCCCAACAAACAATCCCCCCACCCAGTAACAGTCTATATTAGGGGTCCTATTAAGGGCTATATATAACCCTATTACTTAATGAGTTTAGAACTTAGGGTTTCGGGCTTTTCGTAGCAAGCAATCTGACTTGGGGTATGGAGAAGGGAATATGTTTAGGCTAGGGTTGAGGACCTACTTGGAGGCCCATGGGACTTAGTAACTACGTGTAACTGGGCTTATAACCCTACTTATAATTGGGGTAACCCCCATAAGCCCATTTAGGGGGATCATAAGTAGGGTTGTATCCTAAGTCCCATGGGCCTCCAAGTAGGGTTAGTAGGGGATGAAGGAATAATCTGCATCGGAGGTATGAGGATTATATTCCTTAATGGAGGGTTCTGATTATAAAGCCCCCTCCCCCCCCCCCCCAAACAAGTACGGATCTGAATAATCCGGGGGGCCCCCGATCAAGTACGGGAAAACTTGTTTAGGGGGGGGGGATCCCAGAGGAACCCATAAACCCCAAACACTACGCCCTAAGCCCTCTGGCCTAAGGCTTGGGATATATTTGTAATTAAATATTAATACATCCCTTCCCCCGAATATTAAAACCCACCCTGATACATAGAATTCTAATTAAATTGCAATTGATTTGAAGCTAGCATGCACTATTCCGTTCCTATGTTGTTATTAATCCGTTCAGCCCGGATCTAGCTCTAATACGACCCCCTTTATATTATTCCGTTCAGGCCTGATTTAGCTCTGCTACGATCCCCTTTTGTAATCCAAAGTTGACATTATTCCCTACGAACCCAAGCAAAATCCCAAACCCGAAACGCGTTTCCAACTTGGCGTTAGCTGCCACACGTAGGCGAAAGTGTTCGTGCGCCGCGAGTTCGTGTTCTGAGAGCGCTGTAGCTGTAGGAGGGCAACAGGTTCCTGCTGATCCTCAACGGGGACTTTGCGGGTTTAGGGTTTTGGGTTTAAGGTTATGATTAGTGACAAGTAGTACAACCCGGTCTTGAGTTGCCCTTGCAGCTGAGGGTTTAGGGTTTGGGGGTTTAGGGCTTACGGTTCATCTTGACCATCTGCATAGCATCAAGACCAACATCACTGAACCATGCAAAACGGACCAGGCGTCCACAACGAACACGAAACTCACACACCGAATTCTAGTTACCCCAACCGCCCCAAATAAACCCTATAACTATCATATGAAAAGGGCCCTGTATAGACCACAGTCCCTTTCTTTAAAGGGGAGCTGTATTTCCACATTAGTTATGGGGAGCGTAGATGTTACGTGTCACACCACAAATAGCTTATGCGTCCTTCTGAGACCCTCTAAAGACCGACACACTGCGTAGGAATGATAAACCATCTCTATATCAAATCTACACATGTATAGATACTCCTGTATAACCCATGTAAATAGCTTCTCTCACCCCCATACCATATAAACTTACAAATGGCCAACATAATTCCTCATTCAGTGAGACTCCCACCCAGTCACACCTACAAAAGAGAGGGGAAGATCTCAAATCATGTCCTAAACCCTAAACCCAACCCCAACCACACCCACAGAGGTGGAAGGCAACCCTCAACCAGATTTACAGGGGGACAGCTGAGAGGGGAGGAGGTCTAGACCGTGGGGGTGGGGGGTGGGGGTGGGGGCCAGCAAGCGCGTGACCATATGTACATAGGGGAGAAAAAGGATGATGCAAGGTTCAGAATTTAGGGTTTAGGGTTTAGGGTTTAGCCCCCACTCAGTAACAGTCTATATTAGGGGTCCGATTAAGGGCTATATATCATATTATAATATTATCCAACTGTTACTGAGGGGGGGCAGTGCTGAAGGTTTAGGGTTTAGGGTTGTTGGTTTTGTTTTTGGCTCAGCGTTCAAGTTGCAGAGTTTAGGGCTCAGGGCCCCCAAAACAGCCCAGCACTCAACCCTAAGAAGGCAAACTGCCACGCAATGTAGGCTGTAGGGCCTAGGGTGTCTTGCAGCAATCCTTACCTGGACCCCAAAAGTATGTAAAACAATGGCCTTTATGGCTATTATTCTGGTTTTAAGGCTATTATTTTACATACTTTTGGGGTTTGGGTAAGTAGTTGCGAACCCCACCAGTAGTCCCAAAGGTCCCTCGAAGTAGGCCCACCCCTGACCCTGAACCCCACAGACTAGAGACCATCCCGAAGCCTAAACAGCTAATCAAACCCTAAACCCCTAAACCCCTACCTGGACCGCAAAAGTTGGTAAAATAATGGCCGCTATGGCTGTTATTATGGGTTTAGGGCTATTATTTCACATACTTTTGGGGGTTTAGATAAACCCTAAACCCTAAACCCCTCAAGCCCAAGCTTCGGATGGATTGCGTCTCGACTCGAGCACTGCGATAAGAAGGCTCAAAACAGCGATGGCGCATCTGAATCGCATTGCCCCGCAGAGATGCAAGCTACTTCCTGAGCTGTCTTTGCTGGGTTCCCAGGAACCCTTTAACAAGAAGGATACCCTTGTTCCTTATGAAGGAAACAGTGTACCACTGGGGTACCTAGTTGAGGCCTTAGGTTTAGGGTTAGGTATGCGCCGGGCCTTTTTTACGAGGTTTAAGGTGCGTGGTTTAGATTCAAAGTCAAAAGAAATAGAAAGTCAATGGGCGCTGCGGGTATATAGGGTAGTTGCCCAAAAGCTGGAAGACACGAATAAAGGCCCCAAAATACTACAATCCTCATTACAGGGACCGCCAAAAAGTCACCCCTAATTTTGAAAAAACCTAGAACCCTTAACCCTATATATCGTTACATAAACCCTAATTGTGGGAAACTCCCCATATGATGTTTTTTTAAGGATGAGGGCCAGGTGAGGTAAGGATGCTGTAGTGTAGCTCTAAAGCAGCTTTTCCCTCAGTTTTGGGTTTAGGGTTTAGCCCTCCAAGTTCAGTTCCGGGGGTGGGTTTAAATGAGAAATTACACGGCTTGGGCTTGGTGTTTTTCAGATCAGAAAAACAACTAGTGGGAGTGTCTTCTTCGTGTTTAAATTTGGGGTTGAAATTCAATAGCATCCGAACAAATCCCGAAGCCCTAGTCCTAGAAGCGTTACCACCTCCACCCCCCCCCCCCCGAAACCCAACCCACAAACGAACCGAAAAAGCGCAATGCGGGGCATTCGTAGGTGACGAGAGCAAGCCATAAACGATGTGTCAATTGTCATGAACAATGTGTCAATTGCGCCAAGCAGGCCAGACTTTTTGAGACTTCCCACATGTGGGAAAATCATGCCTAAAACCGACCATTCCGTTTTGTCGTTCTGCCCGCGCAACTACATCATATGCCAGCAAAGCAATATCCACTCGACATGTTCAGAACGTGTCAAAATCCTCACGCAGGCCAAGGGTTTCAGCATGTAACTCTACCGACAAGAACGCGAGCGACATAGCACAGCGCCAGCATTGCCCCCAAAACCCTCCCCGTAACCAAACCCGGTAGGCGGTCTAGGGTTGAGGGTTTAAGCTTAGTCAGAGCAGGAAAATGATACCACATGATTACTAGAATCACACTATTATGTCTACGGTATCCAGGATCCAAAATACAACTGCCTCGAAACGCCCCAGCGGTCCAGCAGCAACCACAATTACACTTGCCAATCCAAGAGCTAAGCACCTACCAACTTATGCCCGTCACAGTGATGATAATGAACGGCCCATCCGCCGAATAGAAATCTTTCCCAATTTTGTACCCTTGCATGTTGGGACATATCCTTTCTGAGAAGCGGTGGGGGGGATCAAAAGGCCTAAGCATTCCATCGAGGATCCCGATCTATCACCCAAAACCCTATAGCCCAAGCTGTGGCCAAGACTCTTTCTCATAATGTCCGAAGCACCAAAGAACTTAGATGCTCACCATCTCAGGTGGTGACCCTTGACGCTGAAAACGGCAACGTGCTAGAGAGTGTTGAAAATGAACCCTAAACTTACCCTAAACCCTAGCCCAAACCCCAAACCTTAAACCCTCAACCCTAAGCCCTAAACCCCAAAATCCTCGTGCTTTGGAGTTCAGATGTAGGGCTCAGCCCTGAACCTAGACGTGTGGAGGGCCTGGCAAGTTTAGGGCTTATTCAGGGTTAGGGTTGGGGGTTTACAGGTTTAGGGCTTAGGGTTTACGAGTTCAAGAAGTAGGTTAAGCCTAGGATGGCACATCACAAAACACGAGTGTTCTGTACCACGGCAACTATTAGGGACCGTTGGAAAGTGCCTGGTCATGTCTTGGGTTTCCCCTAACTCGCGTTAAACACTAAAACCAATATTGATCCAGCAGCGGAAGCTCTGAAGCCTGAACTGCACAAGCTACGGTGAATATTTCCCATTTGCAAATGATGGACATGAGCTCCTACTAGGGAACATACTCCGGACTATACTAAACTACCCAAAGGGCTCTTCGTAACACTAAACCCTAAAGTCCTCAGCTCTAAGCCCTAAATCCTAAACCCTAAACCCTCAAACCCTTTATGGCCCGTTTGTAAGCTTAACATTGACCCAAGCCCTAATCCCCTAAACCCTTAGCTCATTTGGGCTCATGCTCAGGCCTCAACTCGTGATAATGGGGGATCACACACACACAAAGGGTTCAGGGACTGTCTTGTACTTTCTTTTCTCGTTATAAGCGGGGTTATATTGGGGATATATCATATAGGCATATGTATAGGGTTTGGGGTTTAGGATTTGAGGGCTTTGGGCTTAGGATGTGAAAGCCCTAAACCCTAAACCTTAAGTCCTGAACAGGCCATAACAGAGAAAATGCTGAGGCGCGGTGCTCTTTGAATTTCAAGCAACCCTAAACCCTAAACCCTAAATCCTGAAACTTCAAGCCGTTGCATGCTGGCCTGCGAGAGGTTCCAAGCTAGGTGAAAGGTATTCTTGTCTCTAACATGGGTTTTAGGGTGTAGGGTTTAGGGTTTAGGGTGGGGGTTAGGGCTTAAGGTTTAAGGTTTAAAGTTACTTGAAGATCCATCAGACTCAGTAACTACTTACAACTAGGCTTATAACCGTACAACCCTAAACCCTAAACCCTAAACCGCGCGGGCAACCTACATAAGTCCACTTAGGGGGATTATAAGCAAGGTTATAAGCTTAGGTAGAAGTAGTGACTCAGTCCCATGAACCAACCCTAAGCATTAAGCCCTAAACCAGATATAGGATTCAGGGTTTAGGGTTAGGGGGGGATTAGAACTCCTATTGCCCATTGTAGTAACAGTTACTGTAAGGGGCAATGACCAAACCTACAATTCTGAAACGTGTAATTATAACAACTACACCCTACATACAACATCCTACATGTGATTGTTCTTGGCGCTAAGCAGTAGCCCTCGACCCGGAACCCTGCGCCCTGAATCCAAGTCCTAAGCCCTAAACATGCCTACACCCTAAAGGGTGTGGGGTTCGGGTTTTAGGCTTAACAGGATGTGCTGCCTTCGTGCACCAAAGCGCCAGAATTCTCTGAGTAACCCTACCCGCCCGCCCCCCTGAGGATCTACAAGTGGGATCCCTGAAATAGACCCATCAAAATCCCTGTATGACCCGTCGATATTTGTAATCTCCCAATTGGACACCCATATAGACACTCCTCAAGGTTTCTAAGGAACCCTATACGCAGACATCAAAGCCGATAATGAAACCCGACGATATGTTTTTCCTACGTACGCCCTACATGGTTCACTAGGTCTAGAGTATAGTCTAAACTCCTAGTATCCCCCTGAAAAATCTATAGTTTAGTCTATAGTTCATGTAAAACCCCTCAGAAAAGGCTGGGCTAACACGCTTCTCACAAGCACACGGGCGGCCTATCGTTCAAATAAATGCCAAAGGCCGCAGTTAAGTATCTGGAACAAACTATATTGCAATATGTACGACAGTTCCATATATCAAGGTCATGGTATGAACTCTTGCAAGAAGAGC